AAACATAGTCGTTATTAATGTTTATGTAACATCAGCAGTGACCTGCTCTGACTGTAGCCCTCTGATCTTCTCCATAAACATTCCTAACAGCAGCTATGTGATGACAAAATATTTCTAATGTTAGACAAGATGAGACAATAACAGACTGAATATGAGAGATGAATACTGTAAAACAGTAGTTATCAAACTTTTTCACATCAAGGACCCTAAACTGACACAAATTAGACCACAGATCCTCATCTGATAAGATTTTTACATTTTATAACAGAAACTGTTTGAAACCCATCAATATTTACACATTCTGTCATTGTGTTACTAATGGATGGAAATATAGTGAAAATAAGTTATTCCCCTTTTTGCTGGGGACCCCAGAAACACCCTCAAGAACCCCTGGGGGTCCCTGGGCCCCACTTTGAGAACCACTGCTGTGAAAGATGGTGAATTCACACTAAACTGGTGATTATGGTATAAATTAAGGCTGCACAATAGTCAAAATCACAATATGGCCAAGTGCAATATCCAAACCATTGGAGTTGCAATTTTTCTGATAAAGGTAAAATGTGTCACAACATTGTAGTTCATAGTTAGCACCATAAGTATTGTGGTGCTACAGAGACGCCCCAACCTACAAATCATATTCTCCAGACATAAAGGAACATGTTCGTTTGATACAAGACTCAACAAAAATCACATAATCATCATTTTTATATTTTCTTCAGTGAAAAAAGTGCAAAAGTTTAACATTCCTAAAAAAAAATCCTAAATACACGAAATGGTCAAGAACTATCATTTATTCATATCACCCATCACAGTTCAGTCTAAGTGTATTTCAATGATTGAAACCTTCATCCTGTAAAACTAGTCACATCCACTTCAGTGACTTGCTGTCAACTCACCTTGGCAATGGAACAAACCAACAAAGAAACACAGGGGTGTAGTTAAGACTGGGCAACAGTGAAATCTCTAAACTATGATTTCCTCAGCTGAGACCCAAAAAATTTTAAGAAATCTACTTACGACAAGAATTCAGCGCACAGCGTTCCAAACATACTACATAGGCTTATTTAGAAAAACAAAGACCAGCAAATGTAAGCTACTGGACTGCAACCCCTACTGAATGCTTACACTGTAAGTTAGGCCAATAAGCTTTTCAGGGTATAATTGGATTGAGCACCAAACCTCTGTGCAAGCTTCACTTATCTAAAATAGCCACACAGATGTATCATGGTAATGGAAACAGCATTCTTGATAACCTAGCAACTCACAAAATCTTTACCCCTGAGCTATAGCAGAGAATATGTCTTCCAATGCTAAATAATGAAGCACATTAGTGAGTATGGTACTTCTCTATTAGAGCCAGAAGGGGGAAACCAAATGCCACAACAAACTTCCAGCTTCATGCTGTAAAGTTTAATGATTCACTCAAGTTAGTTTCATGTTCTGCAAATGCCTCAAGGGAGAGGAAAGAAAGGCAGTCCAGACTGTGGGGGTCCTGATGGAGAATAAAATCCTAACTGCCCCAACCTAGAGAGGTAAGTAAAATAATGTGAACGCACAAAAGAGTTTAGCTGCCAAGGAAACAGGGGACGGATTTACATGGGACAGATTTTAGTGCTTCAAATGATCTGTGCTTCCGTGAAATCTAGTGGCACTGGTCAAAAAGTGTTATCCATTCTGTTTGATTCCTTGCTGTCAGTTGTTACAGCTGCTTTGAAGACAAGTGCAGTCCATATTCAGTTTGGTGATATATCACTAACTAGAATTCAACTCAGAATTTACTGCACTTAGCTAAATTACAACTTTTAGATTTCCAGTTAGTGAAGCTGGAATCCATGCAAATACTATGTGTCTATATGGGACAATTATAGTTCTTAACCGTATACAGTAATTAGTGTTGTCAAGTTTTAAACAAATTTTGCATAAAAACGTGCAATTTAACTTCAGCTCACACCCCGGTTTTGTTCCTGATGCACAATACTTCAGAGATTTCCTCGTCTGACAGACTGAAGTAGAAGCACAGAATGAACACTGGGTTTGTTGAGGCATGTGCAAAGACAACAAGACGCTTTCACACAGGTTACCACACCTATCTGTTTTCTCTGTGACGCGTGACAAGCTTCTCCTCCCCTCTCCCATATGACATTACACCAACAGTTTCACATTAGTCACTGCATGCAAAATACACGACTTGCTACATCAAGCTCCTCCCTTCCAACCACACCTGTAGGCAGGAGCAGGTTGTGACAGTTTCCTGATCTTCGTTCAACTATCCAACATTATCCCTGAGATAAACAGAGAGGTGTTTCATGGCTGCCACCTGCATGCTCAGGCACAGGTTAAGCTGTAGACAAACATCAGGGCTCCACATAGGTCCAGGTTGCATTTTCAAACCCCAACACCAGAATTCTACACAACATGCAGACTACAGCTGGATGAGAAGAAGAAGAAGAAGAAGAAGAAGAAGAAGAAGAAGAAGAAGAAGAAGAAGAAGAAGAAATGGGACTGGAATTGAAGCTTTGAGGTTCTGTGATGAACAATTATCACTTTGCTGTTTTCTAAATCAGACACAAGACTTGTTATTGTGGCCTTGGAAAATGACTGTGTGGAGATCCTATTTGAGAGTATCGTGACAGAACACAGTAAATTCTTCAATATAGACGAGGAGAAGAGACTGAGAGTCCTGTGAGGCTAAAACCCCGTCTAAAATACAGTAAGAACAACAAGACTTGACCTTGTAAGGAAATGTCTTTCTCCATCTTGAATCACAAGCTCACTGGAATGACAATATCCACATCCCTCAGTTCTGCCTCTTTCTTCTTCCTATTCCTCCTTTGTTTCAAAATGAAAAATACAAACTGCAACCACAGAGACACCTCTGCTGGCATGCTAGCTGATTAGCCAAGACACAGAACACTTTGGAAATGTTTAGAAATATTTGTACTGCTCATGGGTCCATTTACTGTCTAAGTTTCTCATACACACTACTACAATAAAAAAACAAAATGCAAAAAAGCAAAATAAAAAAACTTTTCCCAAGGTCAAATCCAGTGTCCCATTGTTAATTGTAGTCTCTTGGTATGTGTCAGATGTTTATCAAAAATTAATTTTTGAGTTTGTTCAAACTGCCTCTTTTTTCCTGTAAAACATTAAAATATTGTAGCATCCCTCACTAATGAAGCTACGAACCGTTAGCTGCTTCCACCGGCTCTCTATCCGTTAACTGAACACAGGCTTCTGTGGGCAGCAGCCAACACCAAAACAACAAACCTAACTGGTTTACAGTGTGATCTCAGCACTATCTGACTTCAACTCCCACTGTAGACTAACTAACAGCCAGGAACAACAACAACAACAACAACAGGTCCTCCTCACTCTCTGTTAATCACAGGTATGTTATGTCACACATATATGACTGACAGGCTTCATGACCTCTAAACATACCACACATTCACTGACAACATGGAAAACTCAGTAACTGCAATAACCTGCCCTTTTACCTTATCTGAACATAACACAGTCTTAACACAGTAACACTATAACATCACAGTTATCACTAACATGTCACCCACATATTTTTGATGAGTCATCGTGAACTCAGGGGTGTATACATACATTGATCCAACCAAATGTGACTTGGGGCGGGTAGCTAACATTAGCAATCAGTTTAAACTGTACCTGATATAAGCTTGTTGGTTGTAGTATCTAGCAGAGCAATGATATAGTAAGACGTGTGTTTGGATGTCAGTTATCAAAAACCTTGTTTATATCTTACAACTCCATGTCTACATACAAATCCTTATTGCTCTGTATCACCTGAGACACAACAATCAAACATTTTACATCACTCTTGTAACCAAACCCAGCTCATATATCCTGGTTCACTCGAAAAGACGTCACCTTCCCTCAGGCAGGCTGGTTATTTATTCAGATTTTTTTTTTAACTATTGCTTATCTGCTCATCAGAACTGTATGGGTGTGGTTTGATCAGATTTGATTGACATTTAAATAACATAAGTAATCAAACAGACTAAGATTGTTATAGACAGCAATGTAATCCTGTTTTCAGTCCAATAATCCAATAATAGACACGTCCATTGAGAATAAAAGACAATGAGTGAGACTCACAGCCACATCCTTGTGGATGGATAAATGGAGAGTGGACTTCCTTGTACAGTAGGATTTGTTCAGGGATTACGTTATGATATGATACAATAGAGAGAAATGCAGATGGCTAAGAGAGACAATGTGACTAGTGTTTCACACAAAGCAAGGCCATTTGTAAGAAGGCCTCCAGGACTCTGAACAAATGATTCATCACTTAAACAAGATATGAATACTAAACAATACGACAGAGTCAATAAGTCACAAGGACTGGCTTCTGACAAAAGAGTGAATGTAATCATTTATTGTGGGTTCACTGTTCATCAACAGTGTGTTCTTTACTGAATGAGAAAGAGTGAGATGTGTGGCACAAATGCAGCTGGCAAAGAAAACAATGTAAACTAGAAATGCCCTATCACAGAGGGCGTGAGAGCCACTGACAACAAGGTGTACTGAAGTGTTACAAAAGTCCCAGTGCCATATACTGTCATTTGCATCATAACTTCCCCTTGTCTGTCCTTCCCACACCTGCCTATCTAACAGAGGGAATGATTTCATCCATAACCTCTCTTCCTTCTTTTAACTTGATTGTCATGAAAACCGTCACAGACCATGAACTGCTGTCGCCTTCAACCCAAAATAACCTGGCAAAACAGGACCATCCAGCTACCAAGAACTCAACATTGACAGTGTAGAAATCCCAGAAAGCATCGGCTAGCCTACAGACAAACTGCGCAGGCAAAAAGCTTCAAGGGCCAGGATCCTACGTCTCCTCTGTCACCTTGGTTTGTTGGCAATGTTACCATGGTGAGCTCTTAGGCTGAGGGGGTGGTGCACTTGTGACAGCAGCAGATGCAGGAGGAGAGGGCAGGGGAGGGGACCAGGGATTGGTTACCTACCTTTTCACCACCAGACGGAGGGTCTTATGGGAGCCTTTCACAAGGCAGATTGCCTCCTGTCTGTAGCCACTCAGGGGAATCTCGTTGATGTTGACGAGCTCGTCTCCCACCTGGAGACACACAGCTGCTGCCTTGCTGCCTTCCTCAACCTGCAACATAAACGCAGCAGGTGGAAAAGAAGAGAATTTAACACACTATTTGACCAAGCCACCAAAATGTTTCAGTATGCATATTCGTGTTGGCTAGCTAGTTAGCAAGTGAGTACCTGTATTTTTGTACCATTACAGAGATAGACAAAAAGAAAGGCAGAGAGAGAGAGAGAGATAGAGAAGGGAATATACAATGTAATGTTGGCAATATTAAGCCATATTAGTACTTCCTCTTCCTGATGTCTTCTTTTCTGTCATTTAAGAAGGTTGTATGTTCAGTTTGTAGAGTTTAAAGTCTGATACACTGTTGCTCCTGCATTGCTCTGTGTACTGTGAGGCAGCTACAAACATGCAGTGAGTCATCTGACAAAAGACCTCTCAACTGATGCATCGACTCATCGACCCTTTAGGGAACAGCCCCAGTTTAGACAAATTCCAGTTCTACACCAACACCAACTTTTCATTCTTTAGCTGTTAGCTGGCAGTACAGTCCAGTTTATTGTATGTGTCCTACCTAGGAACACCAGCATCTCCTTTCTGTTTCAATTAGGGCCGAATGATATGCAAAAAAAATCATATTGCAATTATGTGATTACGATATTGTGAGATATACTGTGATATTGTGATTGCGATATGAGTCACAATTTCAGTTGGAATGGTCATTTTTGCATTTTCATTTTCACTGAAATAAATAAAAGTGCACTAAAAAGTGCAGCTCCTGTGATTTGGATATTGCACTTGGCCATATTGCGATTTTAATAATATTCTGATTGTTGTTCAGCCCTTGCATGAGTTGATACGAACGGAGGATGACATATGTTTAGGAATTCAGAGGAAAGTAGATGACATCAAACTGTCTTCATGAACCTCTGCCACTGGCATGTGTACTCTAGCATGATGTGATAACAGGAGTAGAAAGGATGTTGCACACCAATCATGGATTATGCCATTATCAGAATGGCAGCCAGCACATAGAGAATACACAGTTTATAAGTGGGTATGAACAGACTTCTTATGCTTCTTACATTCAAGGGCCTCCTACTACAGTGGTTAAGTAACCTCACACAACCTAACCTTGGTGCTACTTACTGCCTCTCAGTACTTAAAATTCAGTGATAAGCAAAAATCTGATATTTACTGAAGCTTTTAAGCTATTGTGGTGCAGATTGTTCTAATGTGACCTTACATGGCAATGTTTGTGTGGTGTAGAACAGCTAAGGGTTCTTAGCTGATTAATCTATTCTTTTCTTAATTCATCAATGTGGTGTGCTAGTCTATAAAAAGTTGAAAGTAGTGACAAATACCGATCACAATTTGCTAATGCCCAAGGAGACAAAATAAAATGCTTGTTTTTGCTTGATTTCGATGAAGCTGGAACCAGAGTCTGTTTTTTGCACGAATAATTACTTCAGCATGAATAATTGAGTAAAAATTGAAAAATGTATGAAGTTACTGTTGTTTAATGAAGGCATGAGGAAAAAATTGGACACATTTTGTCAGTGTCTATTACAAATCCTCAATGCAGAAAACCATTTATGAAAGAAAATGATGTTGTAATTAAATAATGTAAAGCTCATTATCATTAATGTCATAAAAACTCCATGAAAACCTCAAGAACATGTTTTGTAGGTGGTTAATGCTAAATGCTAAATTTTGACAGCTGAATACTGTGAAATACATGAATAAATAGAAAATGTATCTTGCAATTATCTCAATCAAATCCTTATAGCAGTTGATTTATCAAAACCAAGCACAACATAACTACTATGAAAAATGCTTAACTGAAACAGTATGTGAGAGACATGCATCTCATGTTGACATTCTTAATGTATTTTATATGGTAACAGTGACAAACACACTGTTTACCAGACTTAACAGCAGGCAGGGCAGTTTCTAAAGAAAAGGATCAAAGGCTATAAAAATACTTCAAAAGCTGCTGTCCAAACCAATGGCGTGATGTAAAAACAAACACTATTGTATTTGTCTGCGGGCAGACACCTGAAATAACACATCTGTCAAAGGGAAGTACAGTGAACTGAAGTCAGCAACTGCTAGTGTTGATGTACTATATCTCTGGAGAGGGCCCACCAAATACAAGATATTAAACTGAAAGAATCCCATCTCTGAAGTGTCAGATACACCAAGCTTTAAGGTCACGGCTGTCCTCACACTGACGCAGAGAGTCAGATATTAGAGGTGCAAGACAGAATGGCTCAGTGTGGAAAGAAAAGCAGCCAGAAGTTGCTTGGCAGTTGGCACATTAACACACACAAGCCAAGCTCTGCAGCTGATTATCAGTTCTCCACTCAACCTGTGAGTGGGGGCTGCATGACTCAACTACAGAGGTATGTGTACATTTACAGACCATTACGTCTTATACGGCCTTTTTCCCCAGAACAGAGAACCAGAGCTAAAATAGCTCTAATATAGAACATTTTCATTCCTCTAGAATTCTGATTTTAAAGCAGGGTTAAGGTCAAGGATTTTTATGATGGCTGGCTGGATTCCTGAAATGGTCCTGATATGGTAGTGTATTTTGTAGAAACACTGAATCACTGACTGATACATTTACTGTGAGTTACAGGGTTTAAAACGGACATAAAACACCACAGTTTAACTGAAACTACAAAACCATTCTTACTAGACAACAGTAGGATGAATGATTTTAATCACATTTAGACTAACTGTTGTTTTTCACAAGCATAACCATGGTTGTAGGCAAGTAAGATTAAGGTAAGGTCTGAGATAGAGGTGTCACAGCTATAGTAACAAACAGTAAAGGATAAACCAACATCCTTTATCTTTGTTATTGTTTCCAAATCCACTTAAAAGATCAACTGGATGCATGTGTAACGTCTTTTTGGTTTTGATTTCGGTGCACATGCTAACAGGTTAGACCGACATGCTGCCTTGCAGCCATGAGCCGTTATCTAGAGATTTGGCCTCTCACCTATTTTTCATGTATGACGTGCGCATCTTGCAGCAAAAAGACAGAGAAAAGATGTTGATCTCATATTGACATCATAGCAGCAACATTACATAAAACCGACATCTTCCTCTATAGTTTCTAAGCCTAAACTCAATCTGAACATGATAGACATGAAAAAAAAAATTTTTTTTAACCATTTTAGCAGCTGCATGTGGAGACAGTGCCATTTTAGTTACGTTTTCTGTCAAAAATAAATCAGAAATTAATTTATACTGAAGTAAAATCAACATTCAACATTCCAGTAACCTGTAAACTCAATGTAGAGAGACAGAGCTGCAGCAGCAGGGACACAGCCGGTGTGAACAACACAACTCCGGCAGTGTGTTGCTGGCGTTAGTCTGTCTCTCAATACTTTCTGACTTCTCTAACCTGTCTGTCACTCTCAGCTGCAGGCCCAAGTGAATAGTTTATTTACTGGGCACTACTTTCGGTTGGGGATGAATACACATTTGCTATTTCAGTATCACCAAGATCAGGGCAGGACTGACACAAAATGAGAATACTACAGTCTATGTTTGTTCATGATAATGAAAGATGTCAGCCAGTACTGAAACAGCTTGACAGGATATCTGTAAAACAGGCTAGAACTACATACTAATCTGGCTTTTATTCCATACAACCTTACAGGAAACAAGGCTCCACAAAAACAAATATTTTAAAAATGTAAATAAAAACAACAAACAGGTCAAGTTGCAGTATAAAAGAAAACCGAAGGGCAAATGTTCAGGCAGTGTTCACACAACATCAAGGCAGGAGATTCATACTGCTTCTACAAACACTTTTCACCACGGCAGACCAATCAGCATGAACCATGCCATGTCCTTTGTTTACCATCTTCCTCCAGGCTATAATCAGTCAAACTGCAGCCATCCTGGATGCCTGAGTGTCCTTAAAAATAGCCCTGTGTCTCTCTGTGGGACATGAAGGGAAGGATGTGGTGGCAATGAGAATAAGGAATGTGTCTTTTCTGCTGACAGATGTCCTGTGCAGCGCGCTGACAGGGCACTGAACTCAGACCTCATGTGTGGTTTTCGGCATTGGCTGCACACATCATTGAGAATGTTCATCGCAGTTTGACAAGCCAACAGCAGCCGCATAAACAAACGCACCCAAAGTTGACCTTTGCACTTCTTGTAATGTTTTTAGGGTTTAGTTTAATAACATCTGTCTCTCTAAATGTAGACAGATGTTTTAAGCATCTGTGCCTTTTGCAAAGTTCTTTGAATAAATCACTATATTTGATTGTAACACACAATAACCGTGTTAACCTGCAAATCTGCGATACACCTATTCACATGACTCTGTTAGTGGCATCTATGGAGTTAAAAGAGGCAGGATTAAATCATTGTACTTGTACTGTAGTTATGAGGACAGTTTAGGGAGTGCACAACATAACCCACAAACAGTGGGTTTCATGACAAAAGAAGAGAAAAGAAATGTCATGAGGGTTAGCATGTTAACCCTCGAAATAGATGTTAGCTTTGTATGACTCAATTGTCAGAGTTACAAACACCTGCTAAGTGTTCACCCATGTTCACCAGCTAGCTGCTAACTTTGTCTACCTGCTGTAGCCAGGTAATGTGAAGAGTGCTTTTATGCTTTTTCACTGAAAACAGTTGCCAGCTGTTGCGGAAAACAAAACTAGTGAGAGTTTTGAGGATAACTCAAACCAGTAAAGTTACACGCTGAGCTGAAAGAAGCTAAGACGCTCAGTGTTGAGGGGAACCTCAGAGTCAGGTGGTGATTCTCTGTGGGTTTATCACTACAAGTGATACATTTCTCTTATATATAGTCATTTGAGCCATTGTTAATAGAAAAAAATGCTTCATTGGTCATATAAAAACATTGCTTATAATAGATTTAATGATTTAATGAATAAGAAAGACAGAAAAAAAGTATTAACACCTTAATATGTGAATGTTTTTGTTCATACATGTGATTGACTGGGTACTGAACCTCAATGCATTTTTTGGAAGTGACCAAAATGTGCCTGTATGAAAAGTTGGCATTG